TAAACACCAAGAAAATAATTTGCTTCATTTAAGTCTCATTTTGACTATGACTTTGACAAGTCCACTTTTGACTTTGAAATAAAATCTTGATTTCTAATTTGTACGAAAACGAAATAAAAATAATGAAATTACAAAATACAAGACCGGACTCGTAGCTCAAGGTTTCACAAAGACCAGGAATTGATTATAAAGAAACATATTCTTCCGTAATGGACACCATCACTTTTAAATTTTTAATTATTTTGATTGTGCCACAAAGGCTCAATATACGTTTATGGATGTAGTAACTGTCTATTTGTATGGTTCACTTGATAGTGACATATATGTGAAAGTCCCCGAAGAACTTAAAGTGCCAGGAACAAATGATACATGCCCGAGAACCATGTTCTCAATTAAATTGTTAAGATCATTATATGGATTGAAATAATTCAAACACACGTGATATAATCGCTTTAGAGAATATTTGCTAAAAAAAAGGCTATAAAAATGATGATATCTGCCTATGTGTTTTCCTAAAGAAATCAAATATTGGTTTTGCAACTGTGCCAATTTATGTTGATAATTTAAATTTAATTAGAATTTTTGAAGAGCTCAACAAAATTGCATATTATTTGAAAAATGATTGAAATGAAAGATTTGGGAAAAAACCATAATTCTGTCTCAAGTTGCAAATTGAACACTTTCCATAAAGATTATTTATTCATCAATCTATATATAAAGAAAAAATTTTAAAATACTTTTATATGGATAATGAACATCCATTGGCATTACTTATGATTGTTCAATCACTTGATGTGAAAAAGATCAACTTCGTCCAGTTGAAGATGGAGAAAATGTTCTTTGTTCTGAAGTATCATATCTTTGTGCAATTGGAATATTAACTTATCTTGCAAACTGTACTCGATCCGACATAGTTTTTTCTTTTTTTTCCAAATCTCTTTACAAGATATAACTCTACACCAACACAAAGACATTGGAATTGTGTTAAACATATTTTTCGTTACCTAAATGGTACTATTGATTTGGGATTACTTTATCATCAAAAGTCGGGATCTGCTTTAGTAGGATATGCAGATGCAGTTATCTCTCTAACCCACATAAAACTAAATCATAAATAGGGCACGTGTTTATACATGGAGGAACAACTATATTAAGGAGATTTGTGTAGTAATCATTGACAATAATATTCTCAAACCATTCTGAAATTATTGTAATTCATGAAGCAGACTGAGAATGTGTATGGTTGAGGAATATGATCCATCATATCCAAACATCATGCTAATTAATTTCAACAAAAAATAGTCCAACAAGTTTGTATGAAAACAATGCTATTTGTATTACACAACTCAAAGGAAGTTATATCAAAGATGACAGGACGAAGCATATTTCTCCAAAATTGTTTTATACACGAGTTTCAGAAGAATAACGATATTGATATTCAACAAATTCGCTAAAGTGACAACGTGGCTGATTTATTACAAAAGCACTACCAACATCTACATTCAAGAAATTGGTTCACGAGATTGGAATGTGTCGATTCAAAGATTTTTAGTGATCAACATAAGGGGGAGTAGATGTACACTTTTTCCTTTGCTTAGTTTTTATTCCACTGAATTTTCCTAATAAGGTTTTAATGAGACAACATTTATTTTTAAAACTCCAAAATGACGGTACTCTTTTTTCTTCGTTTAAATTTTTTTTGTTCCATTGGGTTTTTATCAAATAAGGTTTTAACGAGTCAGATTTTTAGTAATGTATCAATCAAGGAGGAATTTTGTAAATAATAAGTTTATTAGTGAATGACAATTGTAACTCTGCAATCCTAGAAATTATTACCATTTTATCCATAATCATTCTTTATAAATATAAAATTTTTGTTCTCATTATAATACACACAACTTTATTGACTCATATTCTCTCTTTTCATTTCATAACAAATTAAAATTTATAGACATTATTAAACAACTATTACCTTCTCATTTTAATAAGATGTTAGCTCACCCTATCCCATCCCTGCCACCAAGGGATTGAAAATTGAAATAACAAAAATATCTTTCCAGTCAAACGCCAGAACTTTAAATACAAGATTTTGACGATTTAACCTAAACAAAGGTCTCTTTAGGCGGCTTGATTTCCAATTTAAGGCAATGTTTGACCTCATTAAATAAAAATTCATTTTTTTTCTCTTTTTATCAACCACACATTCTACAGTAAAATAATATTATATGTAAATTAAAAAAAAAAAATTCTTTCTTTTTTA